AGTATATATATATATATAAAATATAACTGTATCCTCATACTTTAAAGATGCAACGTCATATGAAGGATAATGATCTCGTATCGTTCCTCACCATCTTCTAAATTCAACAACTTGATAATAAACTGTTTTCTTGTCTCTGTCCAGCTCAGTCATGGTTCAGCTTTCTGTCAGTCAGAGACTGTTGGTCCCAGCAGAGACTGCAGACACTGTCCCACTCAGCACTGGGACATGAGTCAGAGGCATCAGTGTCCCATGTGAACTTTCTACAGTAGACCTCAGCTGAGGGTTGACACTTTGTTCTCTGAGATGGTTGCTCAGTGCAGACGTGAAGCTCAGCAGAAAGCTCAGAGCAACAAGCTGCCAAACCAGGAGAGGTTCCCTGTGACGTCTGTCTGGAACCAGGCTGAAGGCCCTGAAGTCCCACCTGGTGTGTCTGACCTCCTACTGTCAGACTCACCTGGAGCCTCATCTGACAAAGAAAGGTCTGGGAGGACATCAGCTGATTGATGCTGTGGAGAACCTGGAAGACAAGATGTGTAAGAAGCACAAGAAACATCTGGAGCTGTTCTGTAAGACTGACCAGACACGTGTCTGTGTGCTCTGCTCTGTATCACGAGTTTGTTCCTCTGAGAGAAGAATATGAAGGAAAGAAGGCAGAGCTGGAGACGACAGGCTGGGATTCAGCAGATGATCCAGAAGAGACGACTGACGATTCAGGAGATCAAAGAGTCGGTGAAGAGAAATAAAGATGCTGCAGACAGAGAGAAAGCAGAAGGTGTTCAGGAGTCTGGGAGACGCCTGAAGGAGCTCATAGAGGAGATCGAAGACCAACAGAAAGAAACAGGCTGAAGGTCTCATCAGAGATCTGGAACAGGTCGCTTCATTCTTCTAACATCTGTGCTGGGCGGAGTTTAAATCCTGAGTCTGAGCAGCGTTTGTACAAACACACACATGTTAGCAGCAAAGCTATGAACACAAACAGGCAACCAGCCCGTGTCTGTCCAACCAATCAGAGAGCTCCTTACATCACAGAGACTAAAATTCAATTCAAATTTCAGTTTTTCTCCTTTTGACACATTTTTCTTGTAAATGAAAAGTTTGTTCTTCTCATGAATTTATAAAGTTAATCTTCAAAAGCATTTCTGTGAGTTTCACCCTCCTCACCCACACTGTTTGAAATTCTTTGTCCTTTTTTACTTTCAGTGTCTCTAACACATCCATGCAGAGATGGCAAAACAACGTCAACATGAGGAACATTCCCAGGAGAACTGGAACGCCCACGTTGGCCTGGCACAGAGGGCAAAGTGGAAGAGCGACACAGATTACAAAATAAAACAGGAAATGAGAGAAAATAACAGATCTCAGACATGATGACTGTGAGGCTGTAGATGTGGCTCACTTTACTAACTGTTCATGCTGTTTTATCCGTGGACGTTTGAATCATGGGTCTCCCGGCTGTCCAATGACAGCAAAGCCTGGACTGTACGCAGGGACGTTACGCAGCCTAAAGGTCCAAACAGACAAAGTAAGAACAGATTTCTACGAGGAAGAAAAGACATGCTCGTGCTTGTTTGTCTTTTGTGTATTTAGGAGCAGTTATTTGGTCTGTACGTGGTGGTGAACAGCCACACAGCCTGGCAGCACTGCACTGCCTTTGTGGGTTTTGTAGTTTAGTAGGTCAGGCTGACGTCTACCATCAGCAGCTGTTTGGGTGCCCCTCTCTCAGGTCTAATATCCGCTTTGCTATATTTTTCCGACTCTGTTGTTATTCCCCGCCTCTTGCCCCTCGCGGCGCTCACCATCTGCTGTTGAGGACAGTAGTTTAGGTGTGCCTGGTTTGAAAGGTATTTCCTGATTCTGTTGTTTTACCACATTTTATGAAGCAACTGGATATCCTCTGCTCATGTTGGTGTTTTATTTACAGGGTCCACACACAGCGAGCTCATTCACTGCTCTCTGAAACATGAGCTCCAGTTCTTACTGTGGACTTGTTGAACTCACATAAAAACCTGGAGTCAGTCTGAGCGCTGTGGCTTCATGTGAGTCATGCTGATGCTGGGACCTCTGTGGGAGCTGCGACAGCGAGGAGTGGACAACAGATGGAGTTGTGTCCTGCTCGGACGTGGACTCACATCATTAAATACTCGTCTGTGTACATTCAGTGCTGTGGTCTCAGTGGCAATCAGCAGAAAGAGCGCGAGGAAAAAAGCACTATAAGCAGTAACACTGAGTTAGTACCATACATGAACTCTGTGTACATCATCTGTGCTTCACCTTTGATCTTTGGTCTACTTCCTGTTTTATCAGGAAGTTTTAGCTTCACTGACTGACTTCTGTCTAATGGATTTGTAGTTGTGTTCTTGTCATCAATCAACTAGTAAATGGCCTGTGTCCTTTTAGTGGAGTGACTCAAAATGCTCTGTGTGTCCTTTTGAAGACAGGCGGTGACACATACAGTAACCACGTACACATAACATATACATGTTCATTACTACACGTACACAATTGGTAAAGATTTGATTAAAATGACTGGTAACAGCCACACAGATGTTGATGGTGGGCAGGTTACACAGTGGGCTTCATCCACACTGATCACTGGGTCTATGAGGGGTTTTATATGCAAAACAACACCTAATTCTTATCATTATGATCTACTGTCATTCTTGTGTTGAAATGTTGTGGAATACGTAACAGTTAATATATTTTAATCAGGAAACAGGCTCTCATTGGTTTGCAGGCACCAAATGAGATGTGGGCGAGCCAAATGAGATGTGGGCGGAGCCATTCTTCAAAGGATTGGCAGGAGTAAGTGGGGATGTTGAGCGCTTGTAAGCTTGTGTGTGGGAAACATTAGAGCCCCATGAATATCTTATAGAAGTGACAGTGTCATCGTTTAGTTATTCACCTGCGTGTTTTTATTTATTTGTCTTTGACGTGAGGTGACCGTGCGTTTGCCTTGGCTGCACCAGATTTGTGGAATAACCTTCCTATTGCTGTCTGTGCGTCTGATTCTATCCAATCATTTAAATCACAGTTACAAACCTATTTATTTAACCTCGCCTCTCCTGCTCGTTCATGCCTGTATCTGATTCCTAGACTTACTCTATTTTACCTTTTATACATATCTGTTATGGCTTTGTGCTTTTAACATGTTTTACTTGATATGCATTTTATGTTATTCCTGTGTATTAGTGACACTGACCTGTTAGCACACTTGGTACTTTGTTATGGTCCTATAATATTTATAATATTTATGTTTTATTTTCTGTCTTTTATGTGAAGCACTTTGGTATACCGTTGGTTTTTATAAATAAATTTGTATTGTATTGACTTTGTTAGCTTGTTAATGAGAAAAACAAGAAGTCTCTGTGTGTGTGTGTGTGTGAACAGCTTTTAAACGAACCTCCATAATGTCTGCCTCAGTGCTGGTTGGAAAAATTAATGCAAATAACAGTAACAATGAGTCTTCATCATGAGACTGTGTGATTTCCTGTGTCCTTGGCTGCCTATGTGTCCATTTGATCATGAATAAATCTGAAAGGTCAGGATGCGTGTCTTTTGAGTTGTGCACCAAGCCTGGCTCGGGTGCATAAAAGGATTTTTTTGGCTTTCTTAAATGTGTATTTTTGACATGCGTTGAACGTCTCTTCTACTAAAGATCCCAGAGTCGCTTTTTTTCTGTACTTTTAGGGGGATAATAAGTAGAAGTCTAATATTGCTTTTGTTTGCATGAGAACAACATTTATCCTGTACAACTCACGGACTACTCCATTTTACAGCTTTTCTGATTTTATTTTCTCCTCTTTAGATATTCAGTCAGCAGATGAACAATCTCCACCACAAACTACTCTTGTAATTAATATTATGCAGTATTTTTTTTTTTTTTTTACAATTTTTATAGGCAAACGTCTTGCATTTTGCTGTAAATATAAAATAATTACAAAATATTTTATTATATTTTTGCACTGAAAACAAATGCAAGCAAGTTGATATATGAGTTTATTGTATATAGAAATGCTGAGTAGCTACGGCATCGGGCCGGTCAAGCCAGCCAGTTTGAGCTTTGACATCATCAAGTACGGTGGTGGTCCAATTGTAAAATGACCACTCTACGTCCTCCTGTCCTCCAATCTGGCAAATTTTAGCCAGCGTTAGCTTTTTTGTTTACTAGCGTTAGCTAACATGCTGACAGGACATTAAGTAAATTTGCTAAAAAGCCCCCCAAAATCAAATAAAACATAAAAGTCCTGTTGGCTTTGACCAGTTTTCCTCAAATTCCTATTTGATCAGACTTCACTCAATAAAACTGTCTTTCTTCTGACTAATGTTAGCTAATGTTAGCTAATGTTAGCTAATGTTAGCTAGCCCGCCAACATGGACATGTTAGTTGATACCCATCAGAGCAGCTAGCTGGCTAATCTTAGCTTATTGTTATACAAAAATGACATCTGAAGCCAACATTATGTATTTTTCTCCTTGTGTGAGTTAAAGCTGTGACTCTGAGGGTTCAAGGATAAAGTTTTCTTATAAGAGCAGCTTATGGCACAGAGGAGCTTTATCAGGATCTACTAACAGCAGTACTCTCAAAATTGCATGTTTAGAGCAGCCTGCTGTGGGCCCTTATTTCCTTTTAATATAATTGAATTTCAAATGTAAAAATAATCTCTGAGTGACATAATAAACAGTTGTTTTAATACATATTACATGACTCCTAAATCCCCAAAGCAGCGCTTATGGCAGGCTGACAGGTGTGTGCCGCAGCCGGCCTCCATTTTGCGAGTATGGTTTTTGCCACGGCGCTGGACGTGTAGCTGGCAAAATCAAAATGGTGGCTTAAGTTATTAAAACTGAGCAGCTTTCGTCATTGGCTGCTGAACGTCAAGGTTGGAGGAGCAGCGAGGATTAATGTCCTTTAAAGCACAAAGCCTGCTGTCACTGCCCGCTCTCTCTCTCTCTCAGCTGATCCCGTCATCTCATCATCCCACGCCGTCCTCTGCTCTCTTTTGCTCTTTCCGGCCAGCTGTCCAGCCGACGTCCATCACTGCGGGATTTTTTTTCTGCTTCTCTCTCTCATTTCCCCAGATTTCCCTTTCTTTCTTTTCCCACCATCTCTTCCTCCTCTGGATCCGGGCCGAGATATGAAGCGGCACCATGGGTTTTATGGAATTCTACCTGGAGATTGACCCCGTCACCCTGAACCTCATCATCCTGGTCGCCAGCTATGTTATCCTGCTGCTCGTCTTCCTCATCTCCTGCATCTTGTACGACTGCCGTGGCAAAGACCCCACCAAGGAGTACGCCCCTGACAACACGCCAGCGCCACCCAGCCAGTCGCCCATACGCCTGGTGGTCATGCAGAACTCGCCCACCACCACCCGGTACGAGCCCAACAACAAAGCGGGCCACGCCGAGCTGCCGACGCCAGACCTGAGCCGGGATAGAGGAGAGCGGGAGCGGGAGAAGAGGAGTACTCTGGTCTGAGAGGAAGAGGAAAGTTCAGACGGATAATCATGAAGTGCTGCTGTTTCATTCTCAGACTCTTGTTTTTTAAATTGAACATCCCGGATGGCGCCGAGGAGTCAGCAGGAGGTAAGGCGTCCCGAGGAGGCCACTCAGCAGGCCTTTGGTGGGTTTGATGGAGGTACTGGTCCATGTGTGATGGAGGTACTGGTCCATGTGTGATGGAGATACTGGTCCATGTTTGACGGAGGTACTGGTCCATGTGTGATGGAGGTACTGGTCCATGTTTGACGGAGGTACTGGTCCATGTTTGATGAAGGTACTGGTCCATGTTTGACGAAGGTACTAGTCCATGTTTGAAGGAGGTACTGGTCCATGTGTGATGGAGGCACTGGTCCATGTTTGACGGATGTACTGGTCCATGTGTGATGGAGGTACTGGTCCATGTTTAACGAAGGTACTGGTCCATGTTTGACGAAGGTACTGGTCCATGTTTGACGGAGGTACTGGTCCATGTTTGACGGAGGTACTGGTCCATGTTTGATGGAGGTACTGGTCCATGTATGGTGAAAACAAAGAGAATCATTGTGCTGCTGTGTTTCTTTGGAAGACCAAACCTTGTTTTAATCCCTGTTGAAGACAAACACTCTGGATCCTTTGTTGATTCTCATTCATGTCCAAGTCTCTATGATGGATTTGTGGCCCGATGTTCTGAGATAATAAATATATAGTTTAACTATAAAAAAAAAAAAAGAATCGATAAAGCTTTTTCTTCTTCTCTGACTTTACGGGGACCCCGCCAACCACCTGACCTACATCATGGGGACTCCTACATTCTGAGGACCTTTGTGAAGCTTGTTTATTGGTTCATTTTGGGGTTAAGTCACAGTTTACAAGTAAAGGGTGAAACGTGTGTGTGACCGTGTGTGTGACTGTGTGTGAATGTGTGTGACTGTGTGTGTGAATGTGTGTGTGAATGTGTGTGAATGTGTGTGAATGTGTGTAACTGTGTGTGTGACCGTGTGTGTGACTGTGTGTGTGTGAATGTGTGTGACTGTGTGTGACCGTGTGTGTGACTGTGTGTGACTGTGTGTGACTGTGTGTGTGTGACTGTGTGTGACTGTGTGTGACTGTGTGTGTGACTGTGTGTGAATGTGTGTAACTGTGTGTGTGACCGTGTGTGTGACTGTGTGTGTGTGAATGTGTGTGACTGTGTGTGACCGTGTGTGTGACTGTGTGTGTGAATGTGTGTGACTGTGTGTGACCGTGTGTGTGACCGTGTGTGTGACTGTGTGTGACCGTGTGTGTGACTGTGTGTGTGTGACTGTGTGTGACTGTGTGTGACTGTGTGTGACCGTGTGTGTGACTGTGTGTGACCGTGTGTGTGTGACTGTGTGTGACTGTGTGTGACCGTGTGTGTGACTGTGTGTGACTGTGTGTGACCGTGTGTGTGACTGTGTGTGTGTGACTGTGTGTGACTGTGTGTGTGTGTGACTGTGTGTGACTGTGTGTGTGTGTGACTGTGTGTGACTGTGTGTGACTGTGTGTGTGACTGTGTGTGAATGTGTGTAACTGTGTGTGTGACCGTGTGTGTGACTGTGTGTGTGTGAATGTGTGTGACTGTGTGTGACCGTGTGTGTGACCGTGTGTGTGACTGTGTGTGTGACCGTGTGTGTGACCGTGTGTGTGTGACTGTGTGTGACTGTGTGTGACCGTGTGTGTGTGACTGTGTGTGACTGTGTGTGACCGTGTGTGTGTGACTGTGTGTGACTGTGTGTGAATGTGTGTAACTGTGTGTGTGACCGTGTGTGTGACTGTGTGTGTGTGAATGTGTGTGACTGTGTGTGACCGTGTGTGTGACTGTGTGTGTGACTGTGTGTGACCGTGTGTGTGACTGTGTGTGTGTGAATGTGTGTGACTGTGTGTGACCGTGTGTGTGACTGTGTGTGACTGTGTGTGACCGTGTGTGTGTGACCGTGTGTGTGACTGTGTGTGTGACCGTGTGTGTGACCATGTGTGTGACTGTTACCTGTGCTAACACTGACACAGTAAAGTCTTGGTGCCACCTGCCAGGCCATCAGTTCTTCTTTGACTGTGAGGTCCGATGACGGCTCTTTATCATCTGGACCTTCTCGTCCTCACATTTGCACCACTAACACATAAGTGTCCCAGTTACTCAGCCCCACAAACAGATCCTGGGCTCTGCGCTCTTCAACAAGAGTGCAGTTTTAATTCTAGGTGACTCTTAAACTGCTTGGTGCTATGTCAGCATTAACCAGCTTCTCCTGAATAAAGCTGCACTCACATACAGAGCAGCAGCAGACTGCGTCCTCCACCCCCAACCTAAGGTCCCAGAGGACTCGGACTCTTAAGCTTTGGTCCTGACGCTTCAAACCAGCCTGTTAATCCCCCGCCTCTCCCCGCCCACCATCACACAGATCAAATAAGCTGACAACATAAACCCTCACTGGACAGGAAAATAATCAATGGAAAGACTTTGGGGTCAACGTCACTCATCCTTTTGACGTATGCTGGACAGCAGGGATAACTGTTTGGATGCTCGATTGTATGGGTTAATGTTCACAGCTGTGCAGCAGATGTTGGTGTTATCACAGATTTACTGGGTGGTGTTAAAAGAATCTGATGGAGGAACTCTGATGATGTTTGTTTGGAGGGAAATCCTGTATTTGATTCATCTGTATCTGAGAGAACATCCTGTGTTTATGTTGTACTGAAGGAGACACCAACATCAGTGATGGAGACCATTTGTGCACTAACACAGCTGGAGCAGAGTATGGGTGGTAACATCAGATCATGTTCTTTGGGACTTCATGTGTCAGCAGAACATTTAGCATCCTTTTAACAAAAAGCTCCTCCTACATTAGCTCTGAGGTGCTTTCCATCTCCAAGCTCAAGAACAAACTCAGCGTGGAGCTGTTCTTCACTGATGGTCTGCAACAAGTGGAACCACCAAGTCACGGCCATCGGTTTGTTAGAGCAGCGCCAACATACTGAGCACGTCGTTAACGACACGCTTCAAAGGTTCAAACAAATCGGATGAGTTGGAATTTAAAGAAAAACTTAAAAATGCTTCAATTTGTGCCTGAAATGACTGAAAAGCTGTTAAGAACAGAGAATAGTAGAGATCAGAGTATTCACTGTGGTTTTTTCCTGTTCTTTTCCAGGGTTTTGGCCTCACCTGCAAATCGCAGAATTCCCTCCAGTTCCCACCACTGACCTCCGCTCACCTACGGCGCCATCAGCTCACCGTGGATCTGTGGGATTCTGGAGATTTGGCCTCACGGAGAGCTGCAGAAACTTCAGACCTCACAGTGTGTGAACTTGAAGTCATCAGCAGCAGATTCTCCATCTCACCTCAGTGCTGATGTGACCCCAACCCGCCAGACTGACAAAGACTGTGAGGGTGGTGTCAGCACCTTCCCTGAAACCACAGAGTGTGGTATCACTGGAAAACTGAAGATAGCAGTGATGGAGCAGGGCGCTGGCTGCGGTTCTTCAATGGATGCCATCTTATCCAGGAGGAACGCTCCTCGCTACCCTGCAGGAGTCTCACTGTTGAGTCTGACGACTGAACGTTTAAGGAAAACAACTACAGTGCACTGTATTCAATCCTTAAATGCACACGTTAATGATCTAAGTATGCTTCTTCATTTTGAGTAAATCAGAGCTTCAGAAGAGCCAATCAGCTTGGTGTTCATGACGACGTCCAGTTACGATGACCCTGTTAGCGTTTCCCACGCCACTAACGAGAAATCCAAACGTGTTTTTAAAAGCTGAGGCTGACACCCCTATGTCCTACAGAGGTAACTAAGGTTACAGACAGCATGTTTTCAAACCCCACCCCCTCCTTCCCTTTGCCTCGCTGTGGCAGGCAGCGTGTCCGTGGACAGGAATCGCCAGGGGCTGAATCTTATACACCTGCCACACATCGGGGCCATAATTGGGACAGGAGCCACTTTGATTTATTTCTTGTGCTTTGAGTCTGTGATACTGATGTGGATGACAACACAAACACCATCACATCCAGTCAGAGGATGATACTGGTGCCCAGTTTGCAGCAGGGGGAACCTTTAAAGGTTGTGTTGCTAATAACAAAAAGGCGTTCATGGAAGCTCCTGAACAGGCAGCCATATTCTGTAAGCTGCATTTACAGCGCTTAACAAACGTGTCACCACACCAACACAGTGTCACAGCTGTTGGTAATGACCTGAACCAGCTTCTGTAACGTTAGCCCGGCTGTATGTGCAATCACGTCAGTCTAAATATGTTAAATGTTACAATATAGTTTCTGTTTTTATACATTCATTTTCAGATTTACTGGTTTACAAAAAATAAGAAAGAAATTGGGGTTAAAAAAAAAGCAAATTTAGTTTATTTGCCAAATAAACGAAAATCAAACGTTATTATTAAACAAGTTTTGACAGATGTTCTTGTTTTATGATCTCTGGTCTAACAGATTTGTTAAGCTCTGTAGCTGCACAGCAACAATAAACTCTGTCTTCTATCATCTGTGAAAACAGCTTTAAATTTAAATATGATTTTATTTGATGCCGTGTTGACAGTTTCCAACATGACACCAGTGTCTGCCATGTCTGCTGTTCCCGTCACGCCACTGAGAATGTTGTAAACATAGCTGGCGACTGCGTGTGACTAAGAACCTTTTTGAATTAGCCCGTCTCCATAGTAACATCAAAGCATCACTTTCTTAAATCATCAGACATTTCTACGAGTACATAAACAACCATTTTAACCAGTGAGACTTCAAACAGCTGCTTGTTATCATTCAATGCAAACTCTTTCTGTTGACTCTGTCACAGTTTCACTTTCAGTTTGTGCACATCCTCGTTATGTTGTCATACCTGTTGTCTGCTGGGCCACGTTAGAGCCTGCCACGTGGACACAGCCTCTCACTTCCTGTTACATTTGTAACGGAAATGTGAAAAACTGGTTTGAAAACCTTCCAAAAATTATTTTAATGAACCAACACAGAAACGTAATCATTCGAAGCATCAGTAAAACTCACGTTTTTAAACAGAGAACTGTGTTTTACATATTAAACAAACAAACAAAAAAAAGAACCATAAAGTAATTAATAAATAATAAGAAATAAAAAAAACTAGTCATTACCTGATTGTGCTGTAGCACCTGTAGCGCCGCATGCTGGGTCAGATCAGGTGATCAGGTGAAAACAGGTGATGTTGCTCGGCGGCTGCGGCTTTCTGACAGTCGAGCTCCAAACGTGTCAATACAAACAAAATGAGAAAATGTTATAAAAATAAAATAAAACACACCGTTTTAACAGCTTTTGTGTTACATTTACTCCCCTCAGTACAATCTCATTCACACTGACGACACAGAAATGTCTGCTGGTCTGGTTTACGAACCCAGCGCCGAGGCTAACGTCATAACGCTAACGTTCACATTTCCACCATTTGGTGGTTTTCTCATGTTAGTAAAACCTGAACTTAGAAGTTACAAAAATAAATACTGTTGTGCTTAAAAGATCATGAATAGTTTAAATTTTCATAGACACACTTTGTAATGATTTTGCAGCACCTGTCCAGTGTCTGCTGGGCCTACCTACGAACACGGCGCGGTGGCTAGCTGAGCGAAGCAGTCCAAGCTTTCACCAACTCTTCCAACTTTCCTGATATTTGCAACAAAAAACAAAAACAAAACACAAAAAATCAAATGTAGTTTTGTAAACTGTAGTTAACGCATCCTGTTACCATTTCATCCAAATGAAATGACAAAGAAAACCTGGAGCTGCGAGCCGAACTCTGGAGATTCTCTTTGATTTGTTGATGAAATCAGTATCTCATGTTTTTAGGTCAGTTTAGTGAGACTGTGCACACACAGCCTGACTTTACTGTAGTTCTGTGATCTGTTCAGTAAAAAACTACAAAACTTTAATTAAATTTTTTTACTTTTAAATAATCATTTGAAAAAAAATCTCAATATAAACACTGAGTTTCTACAGAGACGATCACACTGACGCTGCCACACCCTGCTCGCTGCCAGCTGGGCCAGACTGCAAACTAAACCAGCAGGTTATTTTACACTTTTAACCTTCAGGAGATCAAGTCAGCAAAACCTGAAAGACGTTAAAAATGTTTAAAACACAAAAGTGCTGTTGTAAATATAAAAACTCGGAATACTTCCACTTTTGTGGGCGGGTTAGATCAGATCAGCAGTACTCCTGTGGCAGCACAGTCTGCTGGGCCAGTTAATGAGCTAATGAGAGCTAGCTTTATGCTAAATTAAAACCTTTATCAGTTAATTGATCCATGTGATCAGACGTGTTGGAGTAATGTTTGTAGTTTGGGTCTGCTGCTCTGATGCTTTCTGTGATTCAAATATCCATTTGATGTTTCTGGAAACCACTGTGGCTGCAGACTGGTTTAATCCCGCTCCCTTCCTGAAACTACAAAATCCTCCTTGACCAGATAGACTCCGCCCCCACCGCTCATTGGCTCTGGCACTGCCTGACATATGATCCTGCCCCGAGTCTTTTTTAGAGGGCTTGTGCCGCAGAGGCCGTGCTGGAGCAAATCCTCTTATATAAAACAGCACAGCCAGCTGAGCAGCCCACCAATGGCTGCGTCGTATCTGTAATATGAATTGCACAATTATCCGCCCGTCCATGTTTCATGTTTGGGGATTATATCGTGGCCACTGCTGCGTATTAGGAGGATGTATTGTGTATTTGCTGATGTCTTTTTGTCTGTGGGGAAGGTTACGTAAGCTTCAGGTTGTCAACAGGCTCTGACTTCATTACGTTCTTACATACGCTCATCATGAGCCACAGCACAGAGGAAACGAACAGAAGCCCAAAGTCATGGTGCTGAGGTCAACCAGCTCCACTTCACTCCAGATACACAAATATCTAAAAACACATCAAAGGTCGCAAGTTAAGGTTTCACCAGAGTGTCAGAAACACTTTAAATGGTTCAAAATGTATCTGAAGTGAACTGCTTTGTTTTAGTTTGGCCCATTTTCCCTGGTATTTTCTGATAATGCACGTTCCCATATCGTATAACATGCAGCCATTGCATTGCACTTACCTTTCTAAGGCAACCCCACATTTAGGTTTTCTGCTGATCTGCAGACACATGTTACTGCAGCTGCTGATTAAAGAGGTACTTCAGACCATAAGCACAAAGCCTTGTATTAACGATCTGTTATTCCTTTCTGTGATGAAAACATTACAGTTTAGATACTCCTGGATTTTGTGGTTCATGCTGTATGTTCAGACAAATACGAGCTGTAATGTTTTTAAGGAAATCACACTAATGATGTCACGGTTTTCTTTTCAAGTCTGTCACTGTGTAATGGAAATTTCTACTTGATCCCAATGTACAGAAACATGAAAATCTATGAATAAACGAGTGGAAACTAAACGGCTGTTTACCAGTAGAAAAGCCCCAATGGCCTCATTCTGTTTACATATTAAGCCTTTAAAAATTATTTTAATACATCTCCACTGCATGTGACATTTATACTCAGAGTGACGCTCACAGCAACAGTGAACAACATGAGCTAATGCTAGCTTACAAATCAAGTCCACTAATCGCTAAAGTCACCAAACAAGCAGAAGATCAACTCAAACTCCACATAAGGAAACAAACTAGAAACTGATGTGACCTTACACAGGATACATATAGCTACTGTAGCTGGCTGTATCCCAATTCAGGGTCTGCAGCCTTAAAGGCCGCATTTCAAGGCCGATTACGTCACAGCGTAAGGCTGTCCCAATTCAAAGGCTGCTCGAAATGCGGCCCTCAAATGCGTCCTTCATTTCCCTGAATTTTAAGGCTGTAGCAGTGTAGACTTCGTGGTCCCATATATCCCACAATTCATAGTACGGCAGTCGGTGTGGATAAATTTGCCGAAAAAAACGGCGGATGAGGGGCGGCCGAAGAGCAAACTTTAAGTACTGAATATTATGTCACTTATTTATGTGCAAATGTTTAATAACGAAGAACATTAAAACATTACTGTTGGCCACATGTCAGCAAAGTCATGTGACATTAATGACGTTTGTGCTAACTTGGTTTTAAAGCCTTTACTTTAAAATATACGCCGTTCAATAGCTGAGCTTAATCTTACAGAGAATGACCAAAGCTCATGTAGAAACAAACAAATGAACAAAATATGTTCTCCTTCATTTCTGTCAAACACAGCTGTATGACACGTTTCCAGCTGTTAGTATCATGGTTGCTAGGCAACCTGGGTAGCGCGACGGATGCTTTTTTTTTTTAAACTTTGTTGACAAACAACAGTATCAGTGCAACGGAGGCTTGACTGTCCCATTACACAAGCCTCGCACTTCCGGCCTCAGCGGTCTTTAAGTACGCGGCCCTTGAGGATCGTTGAGGCTGCGTACTTTAAGGCTGCAGACCCTGAATTGGGATACAGGCGCTGTGTCCCAAAGCCTAGGCTGCATCCTTTGGAGGACCCGGCCTTTGTCTCCCGTGTTTGGAGCAGCCTTCGAATTGGGACCGCCTTCGTCGCCTGGCTGTGACGTAATCGGCCTACAAATGCAGCCTCAGTTTTGGGACACAGCTTGTAATCATTTATCTCTATTAGCAGTTAAATGTCACGGTCTGCAGGGCAGACTGAGTGAAGGTGTGTGGACCCAGGCGCGGACACAGGTGAGGAGATGGGAGTAACTTTAAACAAGGGCGAGCCGTTTATTATGGCTGAATAACAAGGGTACAAAACAAAAGCTACAATGAGACAGTGGCGAGAGCTAAACCAAAACCTAAAAATGACTGTGTGCACGACTCGTACAGGTGCATGAAGAAACTATGAATTACATGAATTCGCTAACATGACATGCATGAACTCCTCCACCCGCTACACTTAACCTGACCTGAGGGATGGAACACAGACAATGCGCTGACAAACACGGGGCTTAAATACACTGAGGGATAACGAGGGGAACGAGGCACAGAAGGAGAGCACAGCTGGGAGTAATCAGACAGGACAAGACCAAGGTGAAGCAAAACTCAATACATTGACATAGGACACAGACTTTCAAAGTAAAACAGGAAACATATCAGACACGGATTTGACTAGGAGATAAAGCTGATGGGGAGACAGCAACCATGGAACCCAGAACACAGGGAAGCCACATAACAAAGCCAAAAACTAGAACTGAAGAAACACTAAAAGACTAAGGAACTTAACACCATGTGAAGAAACCAAAAGTACAAAACTCATAAACCACTGGGTCACCAACCCAGCACCATGACATTAAATTAATGTTTGGTAACATTAGCCAGCAGAAGGTCCATGAAGATGACTGTTACCCATCCTTCTTCTGCTAACACTGAAAAACTGCAAGGTTTGACTTTGGCTAATTCACCCAAGCTGGTCATGTTCAAATTATTTTAATCAGTTAATGTTAGCCATAATCACTAAAGTTATATAGCGTAGCTAAGCTAAAGCTAGCTGGCTAAATATAACATTCTGGTGAAAAAGTCATACCTGAGCAGAAATGCTAGTTGGCTAGCTCGCCAAATTACTTCAGCAACTAGTGTGACTGTGATACTAACTTCTGTTAGACAGTTTTTCTTTCAGCATCACTAAATCACATCATTTATCTTCTACAGCAATAGCTAACATGGGGGAGTTAGCCTGCTAGCGGACATTGGTTCAAATATTTTGCTAAGCTCTGAAGGGGAAAATGACAACATCATGCTGCGGTACATTAGGACTAAAACACTCTGTAGGGGGTATTGTGTGTTCTCGCTCAGTCTGAAATGACTGAAAAGTGCTCAGCTGTCAGCGTGTGATGGTCTGAACTGTGGGATTAGCAGAACATCCTGATCTGCTGCCTTCCACTTTGAGAAAGTGGCATTACATAATGACATTTCCAGCTGAGTGGGGCGATACAGGCGTTCATCTACGTGACTGCATGAATCAGAAGAAATCTGCGTGTGGGTGTACACCGGGATTAAAGCGGCACTCGACCCAAAGAGTCAGCAGTCACATCTCTGTATGAGGGACCTGATTTTTCAGGCAGCAAGAGGACATCAGGATTAACAGATAACGCACGCCAGCGGCCTTAAATCATGAATGAAGTTTAAAATGTTTTGCAGGAATTAGAAATATTTATCCTCGCCCTGAAAGGGACGATTCAGCTTATAATTAAAGTCTCTAAAATGGCTTGACATCAGTTGTTTAACCCCTAAAGCTTCCTCACCTGTGCATAATCACTCACAAAGTGGTCCTTCGTTTCCCTTAACAGGGCCCCTTCACTTAATGAGCCATTCAGTCTGATTGGCAGGTTAATGCACACCTCTGCTAAACGAGTTCATTCTTCTCCTGAAGGCTTGCACTGCTTCCACAGATGACAGTGAGAAGAACTAATGAGTAATAAATGAAAAACTATCTCACTCTGCTGCTGGTTACAGCCTCCTCACTGCTGCACAAAATGTTTCCTTCTGTACATTTTGTCCCAGAAAAGTTGGTGTTTCCAAGAGAGAGTGAAATAAGATTAATGTGAGACTGTCAGAGACGGAGAGAGAGATGAAGTGTTGTTAGCTGTAGGCTGAGTATAATCTGGGCTGCAGGTTAATTAACAAGAGTCCCAACAAAGATCCAAACCAGAGTAAAGGTTGGACACACCTGAGGAGCTGACAGGTAAACATGGAACAGGTGGAAGCTACGGTGGCCCTGAAATGTCAAACACACTACAACTTCAGAAAATACCAGCAAATAGAAAAATGCTACAAAAGAGAAAGGACACTGAATAAAACACAATGGCAATCATGTGATTTAAACACACGATTGCTGTTGTGGGTTTTTATTCTTTTATTTTGTATTTTATTAAACTTCAGTTGTGTTTTGTATTTCTTTATTTAACCTGTCCTGTCCCAAGAGGAGCACCGCGGACTCTCTGTAGGCTCCCCTGTTAATGTTTTTATTTTAATGATTTTATTTCATTATTCAGATTATTTTGTTTGTGGATGTTATGCTGGAGCAGACGGGGGTGAAAGATGAGAAGAAAGGAGAGAAATGGGAAAACAAACAGGGGAGGCGAGAAAAGAGAAAAAAGTTGAGGGTGAAGTAAACAGACAGGATGCGTCACTGAGCTGTGTCAGATACAACATGCTGAAATAAGCACTGTGATCACACTCAGATGCACTGTATATTTACTGACATTTATTATGAAAGGGTTCAAAGGAAGGTGCTGCCTCCTTGTGGTCATCAGCCGTCTGAGCTTTTGTGGAGGTTTTTCTAACGGCCTTCACCACGAGGACACATGAACTTTACATCAAACCACAAAAGAAATGATCCTCGTGTTCATAGGAGCACATTTGAATAATAACTTTATTTGTATGAGACTGGATGAGTCATACAGGTTCAAATGAAGCATAAATCATCTTCTCTTCATCTTTTAGTACAAATACATCTGCTGATCAACAAGAACTCCAGAATATTCCGGCAACACAAAGAAAACTTCCATGTTTGCTTCTTGTATAAAAAAATCTATAAAAATAAATTAATATCCATCCATCCATTTGCTTCCGCTTATCCTTTTCAGGGTCGCGGGGGCACTGGAGCCTATCCCAGCTGTCATAGGGCGAGAGGCGGGGTCCACCCTGGACAGGTCGCCAGTCTGTCGCAGGGCCAACACACAGGGACAGACAACCATTCACACTCACATTCACTCCCGCACTCACACCTATGGGCAGTTTGGATTCATCAGTTAACCTATGAATGAATAATTATGCTAAATTAGCTGAAGCATGAATAGACACATTTAGAAGTGAGGAAACCCTCTTCCTCTCTTTCTTTCTTCCTTTCCCATCCCCCGGTCATGTCTGTAATAACTTAAAATAAAATAAAATAAATAAATAATAGTAACAAAGGTTAATCAAATGGACCAATACGGGAAGGCCGTGATGATCCACGTGGTAAAGTAAATCCGTTGGGCATCTTTCTCAACGGGACAGGCAACAAAAGAAAGAAGAAGAAGAAGTGATGACTCAAACGCTCAGATTACAGAGGACCAAAAGTGCCAAAATAAACAATAATATATAAATATTAAAAATAACTAAAGTTAAAAACAAAAGTTTCATTCTGTAGAACATAAAGTGAAATTCACATATTTAAACACTGATTTACTTTTTGGTCATTACTTATAATTTCCCTTCAATAATTTCCATTTAAAACATTTAACATTAACATTTGTATCCAGTCCTTTTTATTATTAATTATATTTAAACTTTAATCATTCCCAAAATTTAAAATTTAATATTTTTTATATTAGTAACTTTATTTTTTCATTTTAATTTTATTTTCACCCTTATTTTTTGTTTCTCTATTTATAAATTCTTTAAATTGTTTTGTTTATATTTTGATTATGTTTTTACTCATTAATTTTCTTATTACTTCTCCCTTCCCTTTTATGTTTGTTAAACTCTTATTTGTTCATTTTTTTAATTTATGTTTATTGACTGTCCTTTTTAAGGATTCACTTTAGCTTTTATTTTGAAAGAGACCGAGGCAGAGAGCAGCACAGAGAGATGACAAAGATGTCAGGATATAAACCGGACCCGATCAACTCGCCCGTTCATCTGGTTTCTGCACCTGTCACTACAGACGGGGACAAAAGAAGCTCAACATGGATGGTATTTAAACTTGTATTTATTATTTTGATCATGAGAAACAGAAGCAAGGACAGAAAAGGTTTCTGTGAACAGAGAGTCAAACAGGAGGAGGCAGAAAGAGAAACCACAGCAAACGATAAAAAGGCAGAATACAAAAAAAAAGAAAAGAAAAGAGGGCTTCATGTTGGGGGGGGGTTACATTCCTCTGGGCCAAACACAGTCATGAAACTAAAGGGACCTGCCCAGGTGTGCTGAGGGTGGGGGAGAACAGGGTGAGACGCAAAATGAAGCTGGTAGGTTAATGCCCATGCATCGCATGCCCCGGCCGGGCACGCCACTGTAATAATATATATGTGTGATATACATACGCTTCAGATTTATGAAAGGATTTCCAAAATACACGGGAAATATCTACGTAGGAAAACAGACTGTACAAAACAAGAAGAATAACTCTGTATAAACATTAAACCCTGTCATGTGTATCAATATATCCTGTATACACTGTAGTCTTTTGGTCTGTAGTAAAGAGTACTGAAGTGAACCCACAGTATAAGACGACACCACGCACCCAAATATACATTTATGTCTCACTCGGCCACCGGGGGGCGTCGCTGAGCTACGTGGGAAACAAAAGTCAAAGTTCACGCCTGACGTCTATTGCACTCAAACGGAGCGAGTTTCCAAAAACACGGCGAAGAAGAGTCAGAGAAACTCGTACCGCGTCTCAGCTTATCAGGATGTTTATTTATAATCACCTTTTCTTTTTCTTTTTTTTTCTTATTTTAAAACAGGAACAAGAAAAACAACCAATCAGAAGTCAAGAAACTGTTTGGACTCTTCCGCTCACTTCCTGCTAGAGCAGCTTTGCATGATTTACACTTCAAAATAATCTTTACTTATCTTGTACCAGATCTGTTCATAACAAGCCACCTTAGCCCCGCCCATTCTAGGCAGGGTTCTTTCGATTGGCTGCCGCTGTAACGCTTATCAAACGTGGTAAAGTTTCAATTAATTACCTTAATACACGTTGACATTAAATCCATACGATCAGTCTTATGTTTGAAAACTGCCACAGCAGGCGTCAGCAGGCTTCCAGCAGCTGGCCAATCAGAAGAGAGGAGGCTTTTAAAGAGAGAGGAGCTGAAACTGGATCTAGTTCTCAGCTCCTCTCTCTCTGAACTGAACATGTTTAAAGATTATTAAAGCTCCAAGAATAAAAATATCGGAGGTGGAAACGAGCAGAAGAGGGAGTTGTTTAACGATAAAGTACCTGAAGAGTAAAGCTCTGACCGACAGCAGGTGTGCTAAATAATTTCATTTTTAAATTTGCTCTAAAACAAATTCAAACTTTCACAGAAAGACAAAAACATGACAGCTGAGCATTAATCAGCTGTCAGCACGGCTTGGTTTGAACACGTAACTTCAACGCGGCTTCATTCGTGCACAAAAAAGGTGATGGTAAAGTCGTGAAGATGAGAAGCAGGACAGTCGCTGCAGAAACCCCCACGCTCACCTCCATCTTCCTACATTTACCCGAAATAAGCAACAGTGCGAGGCGAACCCTGGAAACACGCCGGATTAGATCTTATTTGAAGAAACAGAAAGAGAAGAGACGAAGATGATGCTGCCGCCAGAAAAGATATCTCCTTTTTATGGAATCAACCTTTCCAAACATTTACTGAACCAGGATGTGAAGACTGTGGCGATGAAGAACGTCTCGATCGGCACAGCAAGGAGCACTCTGATTTCAGGTTAGTTTTTACCGCTTTAAAGTTTCTTCTCATTTGAACCATTTTCTTAAAGTTTGTTCTTAATTTGTTTTTTATTGTTTTAAGATAAATTTAAGTGCATTTTATCTCTTTAATCTTGCTTGTTTTTCATTGGCGGAGCGCTCAGAGAAACCTGAAGCAGCTTTCCTATTGAACACAAACATGAACATGCTAAAGTGAAGGTCAAAGGTCAAAACATGCAGCCAGACCCTTTAAGTGACCGGACTGGCTGCTGAGCTCCCCTCACCCACTAGGGGGCTCCAAAACCGCGCCCAACCGTGTCTGAACTCCCTGAAGACGCTTACCTCTGATTATCCTCACAAATATAAAAACATTTCCTGCTATAAAACTTTTGGCATTTTGGGCACTTGTTTAAAAAAGAGAAGTCAGGTTAAAGTTAGTGTGAATGTGAAACAGTGCTGAGGGCCCGACAGAAAAATTAACAGAGAGCAGGAGCTAAGAGGCAGGAGGCGGTACACATTCATTTACAGGTGTGTTCACACCTGCAGGGGGAGGAGCTGCCAGACATTGGGAGAGCAGGGGTCAGAGGTCAAGTGAGTGTTAGTGGAGTCCATGAGAAGAGTTCACAGGGCTGAAGACACGCCCCGACAGGTGTGTGTGTGTAAGAGTTCTGAGTAACGGGCTCGACTCAAACAGGAAGTCATGTGAAGCCAGCGCACGGGAAAAAAACAAAACTATAAATATGTTGCATCGTGTGTCATTTTACAGCACCAGTGTGGATTCATCCGCCGCTGAAAGTAGTCCCCAGCGAACGCGTTTTAAAACTGAACGTTTTGAGGCAGAATCAAAATCAGAGAGGAGGCGTGTCCTACGTGTTTCTGATCTGATTGGGCCACAGACTAACCTGCCGTGAGTCGAGCCCTTCGGAGCCGTGAGACGAGCTGGCTGGCGGTGTGTGTGTGAACTCTGTACATGTGTGTGTCCCGCGCCCTCACAGCGGCCCGTGCTGGGCCTCGTACTTGGCGAGGATATTCTTGGTGCGTCCGAGCTCTTTCCGCAGGTCGGCCACTTCCTGCCTCAGAGCAGAGTTCTCCTTCTCCAGGAAGCTGGCCCGGATGGCGATCTGGTTTTCCTTGAGGCGTCGGGCGTCCCGGGAGCGCTTAGCAGCTAAATTGTTCTTCCTGCGCCGGGCCCAGTATTTGTCATCCTGCTCGAAGAACAGCGGAAAACAGGAAGGATTACTTCAGAGAAAATAATAATCAGCTTTTTAGCACGTTCAAATTTTGCCTCCCTGAACCTCCCCTCACCCCCACCGCCGCCCCTCCCTGGGTCTGGTGCTGCTGGAGGTTTCTTCCTGTTAAAAGGGAGTTTTTCCTTCCCACTGTCGCCGAGTACTCGCTCATACGGGGCCATCAGATTGTCAGGGTTTACTTTGCTGTATAAAGTCGTTGTCGCAGAAACTCACAAGAAATAAAAACCCCTAAAATTCTTCATATCAAACAAGGTGGTAAACTGTAATGACCTGCCTCCATCTCACTCTAATCCTGCATCCATGAATCCTCTCTGAGCTCCACGTTCAGCATCCTTCATCCAGCACAGCCGCCCTCCCTCCTCTGCACATGTGCAAGCCATCTCAGCCTCTCTGACTCTGATATTTCTGATCGTGACCACGTGAACGCCTCAAAGGTCGTGAGCACACAAAGCAGGAGGAAGCGTAAACGGTGAGTTTGGTGTGCTTATCTGAGTCCTTGTCTCTGTTTGAAGGACCGAGTGTGGATGACTAAACGCCGCGCACGTTTCCTCCTGCGCTCGCACACAGAGCCGTGTTTCATTTGAACAAATTAAAAGCCAAATCCTCTGAGCCCGACCTCACAGCAACGTCTCCGCTCCCTCATTCACACTAACATAAGCCTCTTAACCCCGAGACCTCTGCCAGCCAATAGGAGAGCAAGAAGCCAGCTCGTTCTGTCCCAGCATGCTGTGCAGCTTTAAGCCGCGCCGACCAATCAGCCCTAATGGATCTGCCGGCCTGCAGGCATTCACATCACATCCAGGAGAACCCGAGGACGAGTGCCTCTGCTGCGTCACTCAAACATCTGAACTCTGACCTGAGGCGCTTCGTCTCATGTAACCGATTCCACATAATCATATAACTCAGTCAAACTGAAGCGTTCTGACGATAAAACCTTTTCATTCATGCTGAACTTCTGCTGCTTATTATTCTCTAACCCTCTCTGAACACCGCCACCCTCAGGTCAGACTGGGAATTACAGCGAAATCTGAGCCGCTCATCGGGATAGAACCAACTCCAAGTTACCTTCATTTCGTCCGGGATGAAGACCTTTCGAGCCTTCTTGATCATCGGCTGCGGTTTCAGCTCCTCGACCGAGAACTTGCGCTTGCGCGGGTCGAAGATCTCCTGACCCGGGACGCTGGACAGAGCCAGGTCAGCTGGGTCGGGCTCAAAGCTGACGGGGACCTGGATGGAGTCTGGGTCGATGGGGCTGGAGGTGTTTCTGGAGTTTGAGAGGCCTGAAAGAGAAACAGAGGACGGTTCAGACTGGGGGTCATGTGACTAACGAGTAACACAGAGGGAGACACGAGCAGACAGTTTGACTCTCGTTTGACCTGTGAAAGAATCTAAGAATTAGATCAGCGGTCCCCAA